AACCGAGATGCTATCTCCTCTTTGGACAGGTAGACTGTTTAACAGCCGGTGTCTGTTGGTACCAAATCGGAGGCATAGATGTCGAGGTAGGAAGGTGAAGTGTTAGTCGAGAGGAAAGGCTAGCCGAATCATTCTCGTCCGTTTACGTCTATTCATTTTGTTGCAACAGGAAACACAGTCAAGCACTTATCACGAAAGCAGGTCGCTTTGAATTTACAAAGGGAAGAAGTTAGTGTCTGCTTTTTCTTATACGCAGTACATAAAATTCGTTCAAGTTTTTGGAAAAAGCACAACCGTTCTAAGGGTAGGTAAATGTAGGGGAATGGTATATATCGTATGTTAAAAGCGTTAAACTTTTCATTGGCCATGTTTGTTTGTAATAGTTGGCTCGGGTTCAAGACAATGGTGTTGCCCTGTACCAATAGTTTTCCTGATCCAAGCTCTTTTCAAACCTCAAGGAGATTGTACGGAAAAGAGTATGGAATTTAAAGTTTGAGTGTTGGTGTCTATTGTCCGTGGGGTGCCATTACTTTTGTAAGCATTTAAGAAGTATACAAAAACTAGGGGTTATACTACGGGCCGCTTAAACAACTGTGAGAAATACACATCTATCTAATGAGGTCGTAAAGGAAAGCGAGAAGAAAAGACCAAGACTGCATGTATAGTTGTCAGCAAAAGGAACAGCCCAAGATGCGAGCTGTGAATTGGAGATGCTAAAATTGTACATGGAGGAAAATTTAAATATCTTGGAAGTGTTTTAACAGAGGATGGAAAATGCGATGCCAAAATCCGAAGGTTTGTTGGAATAGCAAAAAAAAATTGAATATCACTCCTTCTATATGGTTATTTGCCTTAGTTTTCCCACTGAGATGAGATGTCTCAAAAGGTCGGATTTAATATTGGCAAAACCCGAGCGCGTACTCTCAGGCCAAGGACAAAAATTGCCCAACCCCAGCAAACGTCAGTTTTGCTAGCATCGTTATAACTACCGATCCTCTTTCTCTCTAGTTCAATGGTGGATGTAGCCTCGGGCAGTTGTTACCCGGGACCGGACCCCTCAAAGTTTTTATTTACCCCAGCTACGTGACTATCCGAGGACCAAGGCACAACTGAGTTGCAACCGTGAGGTGATAAACCCTGCTCGGCATGTGCCAGGTAAGTATAATCTTCCCACAGTTGAAGAGAAGACATCAGGCAAAAGATATGTAGCTCTACAGAAGAAGGCTGTGCGTCACGAGGAAGTTTTAAGGAAAATGGAAACAAAAAGGACACTTATACTTAGAATCAGAAAGAGGCAAGCATCAGAGATGTGGTTATAAAGAAGAAGGCTGAGAATACCATGGACAAAGCATGTGAATAAAGAGGAAGTTTTAAGGAAAATGGAAACAAAAAGGACACTTATACTTAGAATCAGAAAGAGGCAAGCATCAGAGATGTGGTTCTAACGAAGAAGGCTGAGAATACCATGGACAAAGCATGTGAATAAAGAGGAAGTTTTAAGGGAAAGTGGAAACAAAAAAACCCTTATACTTAGAGGCAAGCATCAGAGATGTGGTTATAAGGAAGAAGGCAGAGAATACCATGGACAAAGCATGTGAATAAAGAAGTTTAAGGAAAATGGAAACAAAAGGACACTTATACTTAGAATCAGAAAAGGCAAGCATCAGAGATGTGATTCTAAAAAAGAATGAGAATACCATGGACAAAGCATGTGAATAACGAGGAAAAGCATCAGAGATGTGGTTATAAAGAAGAAGGCAGAGAATACCATGGACAAAGCATGTGAATAAAGAGGAAGTTTTAAGGTAAATGGAAACAAAAAGGACACTTATACTTAGAATAGGCAAGCATCAGAATGTGGTTCAGAAAGAGGCAAGCATGTGAATCAGAGATGGAAACAAAAAGGACATTTATAAAGAAAAAGGCAGAGATGTGGAGAATACCATGGACAGAGCATGTGAATAAAGAGGAAGTTTTAAGGAAAATGGAAACAAAAAGGACACTTATACTTAGAATCAGAAAGAGGCAAGCATCAGAGATGTGGTTATAAAGAAAAAGGCAGAGAATACCATGGACAGAGCATGTGGTTTTAAGGAAAATGGAAACAAAAGGACACTTATACTTAGAATCAGAAAGAGGCAAGCATCAGAGATGTGGTTATAAAGAAGAGGCAGAGAAACCATGGACAGAGCATGTGAATAACGAGGAAGTTTTAAGGAAAATGGAAACAAAAGGACACTTATACTTAGAATCAGAAAGAGGCAAGCATCAGAGATGTGGTTATAAAGAAAAAGGCAGAGAATACCATGGACAGAGCATGTGAATAAAGGAATTTGAAAATAACAAAAAGGACACTTATTTTAGAAGCAAGAAAATGGAGAATAATGGACAAAGCATGGAATAAAGAGGAAGTTTTAAGGTAAATGGAAACAAAAGGACACTTATACTTAGAATCAGAAAGAGGCAAGCATCAGGCTGAGAATACCATGGACACAGCATGTGAATAACGAGGAAGTTTTAAGGAAAATGGACAAAAGGAGAACTTAGAATCAGAAAGAGGAAAGCATCAGAGATGTGGTTCTAACGAAGAAGGCTGAGAATACCATGGACAAAGCATGTGAATAAAGAGGAAGTTTTAAGGAAAATGGAAACAAAAAGGACACTTATACTTAGAATCAGAAAGAGGCAAGCATCAGAGATGTGGTTCTAAAAGAAAAAGGCAGAGAATACCATGGACAAGCATGTGAACAAGGAAAGGAAAAGGAAAAAAAAAGGTTTAGAATAAGGAAAATGGAAAAAGAAAAGGACATGGACAGAGCATGTGAATAACGAGGAAGTTTTAAGGAAAATGGAAACAAAAGGACAATACTTAGAATCAGAAAGAAGCATCAGAGATGTGGTTATAAAGAAAAAGGCAGAGAATACCATGGACAGAGCATGTGAATAACAAGGAAGTTTTAAGGAAAATGGAAACAAAAAGGACACTTATACTTAGAATCAGAAAGAGGCAAGCATCAGAGATCAGGTTATAAAAAGAAGGCTGAGCATCATGGAGATGTGAATAAAGAGGAAGTTTTAAGGAAAATGGAAACAAAAGGACACTTCTACTTAGAATCACCATGGAGATGTGGTTATAAAGAAAAAAGCATGTGATGGACAGAATGTGAATAAAGAGGAAGTTTTAAGGAAAATGGAAACAAAAAAGGACACTTATACTTAGAATCAAAAAAGGCAACATCAGAGATGTGGTTCTAACGAAGAAGGCTGAGAATACCATGGACAAAGCATGTGAATAAAGAGGAAGTTTTAAGGAAAATGGAAACAAAAAGGACACTTATACTTAGAATCAGAAAGAGGCAAGCATCAGAGATGTGGTTCTAAAGAAAAAGGCAGAGAATACCATGGACAGAGCATGTGAATAACGAGGAAGTTTTAAGGAAAATGGAAACAAAAAGGACACTTATACTTAGAATCAGAAAGAGGCAAGCATCAGAGATGTGGTTATAAAGAAGAAGGCAGAGAATACCATGGACAGAGCATGTGAATAACGAGGAAGTTTTAAGGAAAATGGAAACAAAAAGGACACTTATACTTAGAATCAGAAAGAGGCAAGCATCAGAGATGTGGTTATAAAGAAGAAGGCTGAGAATACCATGGACAAAGCATGTGAATAAAGAGGAAGTTTTAAGGAAAATGGAAACAAAAAACACTTCTACTTAAAAGAAAGAGGCAACTAAAGAAAAAGGCAGAGAATAATCATGTGAATAACGAGGAAGTTTTAAGGAAAATGGAAACAAAAAGGACACTTATACTTAGAATCAGAAAGAGGCAAGCATCAGAGATGTGGTTCTAACGAAGAAGGCAGAGAATACCATCGGAGGAGCATGTGATCAATGAGGAAGTTTTAAGGAAAATTGAAACAAAAAGGACTCTTATACTTAGAATCAGAAAGAGGCAAGCCTCAGAGATATGGTTCTAACAAAGAAGGCTGAGAGTACCATGGACAGAGCATGTGAATAAAGAGGAAGTTTTAAGGAAAATGGAAACAAAAAGGACACTTATACTTAGAATCAGAAAGAGGCAAGCATCAGAGATATGGTTCTAACAAAGAAGGCTGAGAGTACCATGGACAGAGCATGTGAATAACGAGGAAGTTTTAAGGAAAATGGAAACAAAAAGGACACTTATACTTAGAATCAGAAAGAGATAGTCGAAATTTATGGGCAACAGAATCAGGAAAGACGGCTTGGAAATTTTGACACTCACAAGACATACTGAAGATGAGAGGGGCACAGGAAAACAGCGATAAACCGGCCTAAGGAGCTTGTGTAAATGGAAGGCAGTACAGCAAGTGAAAGGGAAAAGAAAAACCTTAAATCTATAAAAGATAGAAATTTGTGAAGGTTCTGGAGAGCCATGGCTGCTCCACGAGCTGAAGGAAAACAACACATAAAAAAAAAGATCAAAATAGGCTATCATATGGCTATCTTCTTATTGTTTTCGTAACACTTTCGTAAACTTGATACTTATTAAACTTCGGTTAGTACAGCACAAGGACGAATCGGGAGAAATGGAAAGAGATTAGGTTATACCAGAATTTAAATGTCAGAAAAACGTTATTTTGAAAAGTTGAAGACTTCGATTGTTACCAGTTGAAATGATCAACTATTTACGTACACATAATTATCTGATGATCTGATGAGAGATTTCAGAAATTGTAAATATGTATTGTGAATTTTCTCGATTAAATTATCAGAAATTAAGTTTCCCCCAGTATTTTATGGAGTCAAAAATATCATTTCAAGATGTCAAAGCACTCCTTAAAAACACGTGGGCAGGCATACGGCCAGATCACGTTGAAACAGCGGGTCACATACGATCGCCGAAATTAAGCAACGTCGTGACCTCTCAGTATATAGGTGGGAATAGCGGGTGTTGTAAGCTGGGATGGCCAGACTGTTTGTTTCCAATATTTCAAGAGAAATTGAACACCGTTTTCTATGTTTACCACAGAACAGGCGAATGTTCATGTTATTTGCTGTTATAGGTTTAGCTTGTAAAATTATCATCTTTGGTGATATTGTGGGTATTTTGTTTTTTAATCAGTCCCCCCCCCCTAAGCAAGGCGATAATGCCACTAAGACGCAATGGGCTACTGGCGGTGAGAGAGAATGAGAAGACTTTAGAAAGAACCGGAAACCAAATCCTAAACAGAAAACAAGGGATAAACCTCTCCACCTGTTCAAAAGACTGGCGATTAGCGTGAACCGGATGACAGGCAAACCTATCTACTTCTATTGAGAAAAAAAATAAGTAGCAATTAAAATTTCAGAGTTCAGGCAGAGACTTTAGAAGTAGACATTTTGAAGCTGACTTTAGAACGAACCGGAAATCCAATCCTAATCAGGGAACAAGGGATAAACCTCTACTCCTGTTCAAAAGACTGAGGAGGAATGTAAACTTGACGATAGGCAAATATCTATTCCACTTGAGGAAAAAGATAAAAAAAATAATAGTGATCAATATTTAAAGCGAAACCATCAGAAGTATAAAATCGAAGTCGACTTGAGAAGGAACCGGCCGTGAGCTATAATCTCTAAACTTCATAGTGAAGTAACTGTTTCTGAAATTGATAATAAAACATCTACTCTTATAATTCAATTTGAAGCTACAGTTTTTAAATTTCGTGATAGATCAAGTGTTTTTAAACTTCAACTGTTTTTTTAAGTTCATACCCTGCTATTTTTCTTTTTCTAAAATACTTGGTGAAGCTCCTGTTGTTAAAATTCATGGAAGAGCTGAAGTGTTTTAAATCTAAGCTGCCAATGTTATTATTTGCGCTTTTCCCTCTTTTGTTTATTCCTTGCCTTGCTATTTTACTCGCCTAGTTTCTTATTGTTTTGCTTTTATCACTCTATATCTATCTATCTATCTATCTATCTATCTATCTATCTATCTATCTACCTTAGCCTTCTCAAGTGTTTTCTATCTATCTATCTATCTATCTATCTATCTCTGTCTCTCTCTCTCTCTCTCTCTCTCTCTCTCTCTTTATCTCTCTACCTTTTTCTTTTTGTATTTCTCTCTCTGGATCTCCTCCTCTGTCTTTCTTTCATTCTCTCCTTCTTTTACTTACTAACGTTTTATACTCGCTTTCTCACCACTCTCTCTCTCTCTCTCTTTCTTGTCCTGTCTCATTCTTTTCTTTTACTCTCTCTCTCTCTCTTTGTCTCCTTCCTCTTTCTGTCTCTCTCTCTTTATTCTGCTTTATCTTTTTTTACCTTCTCTCTTCATGTCTTCCCTTTATGCTCTTTCTTTCTTTTCCTATATCACTTTACAGTTTCACTCTTTTTCTTCCTGTTTCATTCTCTCTCTCTTTCTCCCCTCTCTCTCTCCCCCCTCTCTCTCTCCATTCTCTCCCCCCTCTCTCTCCATTCTCTCCACCATCTCTCTCCCTCCCTCTCTCTCTCTCTCTCTCTCTTGCTCGTTCTTTTGTTATTGTTCTTCCTTCAGTGGTTGTGGTTTTGGTTGTTGCTACTACTTTTTTCTTATCTTTCTCCTTCTGTACGCATCACTTACAACGACATTGCAATTACAGATAAGAGTGCCGAAATATTTAATTGAATTCTCTTTGCCCCGTTTTTTTTTGGTTTGTTTTTTTGGTTTGTTTTTTTTTTGTTTTTTGTTTTTTTTCTGTCTTCATTCTTCACTGGAATCAGTGGCTTTCCATATTTATTTTTATTTTATTCGTTATTTTATTTCTCATTTATTTTTCTTTTAGTTTTATTTTGGATGTAGGGGTGTGTCTTTCTTGTTAACCCACGCTTTCAAATACCAAGTACTCAAAGACCATCGCTATCTTTCTTGTTAACTCCCTTTATCTCTATCACTCTTTCATTTACTCTCTCTCTCTCTCCCTCCCCCTCTCTCTCTCTCTCTCTCTCTCTCTCTATCTATCTATCTATCTATCTATCACACGCAAGCACGCACACATGCACCTTTTCTTTTCTTTATAAAAGTCTTTTTTGCTTATCTCTATATTCAGTTCTTTCTTTTTATCTATCTCAGTATCTATGTTCAAATTATTTATTTTTTCCCATACCCCGCTCTCTCTCTCTCTTTCTCTTCTCTCTCTCTCTCTCTCTCTCTCTCTCTCTCTCTCTCTCTTTGGCAGTGCCATGTCTATATGTCGATCTACATCTAATCAATTCTATCAATACTCGTCTGCCTAAATCTATATATGGACAATGATAGTTCAATAATTCCGTAGTTATGAGATGAATTTAAAATCTTAATAATATTTTTCAGTCTAATGTTTAATCTATATGATTAATATTACTGAATAAACAAATTGAATTTACCAGGAAGCAGATTATACTGGAAGAAATGTGCTTTTTTCAACATTAGGTTACACGTATATTAACACAGACCTATACATCTATCTATTAATCTCTATATATACGTTTAACCAAATTAATTATCAATCTCTCTGATAGATAGATAGATAGATAGATAGATAGATAGATATGAACAAAAATAGACATGAACAGAAAGAGATAGATAGATAGATAGATAGATAGATAGATAGATAGATAGATAGATAGATAGATAGATAGATAGATAATGTACGGACGAGGTTAGATAGATAGATAGATAGATAGATAGATAGATAGATAGATAGATAGATAGATAGATAGATAGATAATGTACGGACGAGGTTAGATAGATAGATAGATAGATAGATAGATAGATAGATAGATAGATAGATAGATAGATAGATAGATTGTATTTTCATCATTGCAAACAAACACTGTCTTTCGGTCACTTTTAATTTCCAACGAGACCCTTTGGAACATTATCAGGAGATATTCTTTATGAGAACTCAAAGAAATTTGTAACGAAAACTAAACTTCGGGAAGTAATGTTAATATATGTTAAGCTATCACCTCTGCATAAATTCTCAAAACAATTTTTCGTTCAACAAGTGAATGGAAAATATATAAATAAATAATATTTCTTTTCTATTTTCTTGTTGCATCTGATTGTAAACATTTTTTTTATTTCATTGTATAAATTGATCGAGTAATTGGTCCTGAGGCTCCATTTTTTTCACACTGTATTATATATATATATATATATATATATATATATATATAATATTTTTATATATCAGTTCATAAAATCAATTCTATTTCAAGATATTATATGTACATGTATTTCTGGCCAGAATTTTGGTCTTTTCTACCATTAAGTATATAATTATTTTAAAGGAGTCGACCATAGTCAAGATCATCAAGTCAATACGAACGAACATTCCCTTAGAAATGTTTCTTATTTTCCTAAAATGCTGAAAAGCATTATATATATATATATATATATATATAATAGCAGCATGTCCCGGCATTGCCCGTGCTTGATTCAAAAATCATACGACTCATACAGCAATCGCTATCACGTGACTTAAAATATTTTTGCCCTTCCTTGCCTTTAAAGGAGTGCCCTTTGCCGTGCTGATGTTGCTACATGCCTTACTTCTTGCCTATCTCACACTGCGAATTTTTTCTAAGCTCTATACTAAACATTAAATCTGTTACAAATAAAAGAACTAAACAAAATGAACACAAAATGATCAGCTTTAAAAAACTGGAAAAACCGAAGGAAAAAAGAATGTTAACAAGAAATACTTTTTCACACCTAACCCAGTTCTGCGGAATCAGAATCAATGTTGAGTTTAAGCAAGCGGATGAGCCAATTGGAGTAAAGTGCCATGCAGATTTAAATTTTTCCCACTTGTGACGAATGCAGCTATCAATTTTTTTTTTTTTTGCATGCTAGCATGCTAGTTAACATTCATGTCAGTCAGCTGTTGTCTCAGACGCTGGCCAATAGAATCTTCCTGCCTATTCGTGGCAGCCAGCTATAGGCTCTCACTCTGGCCAGTACAAAATGGCCGCAAACTACATGAAAACTGCCGTAGAAGCATGAAAAAATCGATTATTTCCACTATCGATGGGAGTTGGGAAATGCAATGTCGGTCTTGGTCTTCCCGCTAACTTGGAGCATGTGCATGTAAATTTTGGTGCAAATCCGTCGAAAATTGCGGTCGTGCATTCGTTACACACACATCCTGCCTTATATATATATATATATATATATATATATATATATATATATATATATATATATATATATATATATATATAGGAGGAGGCGGACTGAGGAATCGGAGAGCCGAGTTCGAATTCCAGACGAATCCATTACATTCACTTACATGTTAATAAAAGGTATCTTCTTATTCTCCCCAGCTATGGATAAATAGCAGGACTGACTGGATTCTATAGCCTTAGTAGAAGGGCAACTCTGAATTCAAAACCTGCAGGGGGTTGTTTGGGAACCTTGTGACTCGTAGTGCACCATGTCTCTGTATTCAGCCCTTCAAAAAGTGTAGTTGGTTCTGCACAAAGCCTTTCACCACTATAATCAAATTATATATGCTGGTGTCTGGGCTGTCGGTTCCTAGCAACTGAGCTGCTTGACCCTCATACGTCGAGAATACGACGGGAGAGTCCACCATATATATATATATATATATATATATATATATATATAGAGAGAGAGAGAGAGAGAGAGAGAGAGAAAAATAGTGCGAGGGGTAAATTGTCGCCATTTTATTTTATTTTTTTATCTCGCGCATGCGCGTTATTATATTTTTGATTTTGTCGACTGCAAAGTATAGTAGGATCAGTTGGCCACCGTCTGTAAGAGACGACCACGACGCAATTCATTCTGCCAGAAATTTGGAAGAATTCTCTTTGGAATTTAAAAAAGATGGAAAATAAGTGGTTATTTTTCGATGCATCAAACGAGGATTTTTTATTGCACAAGTTTCATCATTGAACTGTTTTTACGTATAAGAAGGAGAATATTTTGCATATGCTCACTACACATAGACACATACACGCGAATGCAGGGTGCGATGGATAAATTGACGCCATTTTATATATTTAAATTACCTGTTGTTTTTTATTTTATCGACTGCACAGTATAGTAAGGTCAGTTGGGCACTGTCTGTGAGAAAAAGACCACCATGATGCAATTCACTCTGCCAGAAATTTGGAAATGGAATTCTGTTCTGCTTAGCATTCGCGCTGGAAGCTCCAATACAAACATTTCAGAGTATTTGGAAATACGTTGGATGAGTCTAATGGTGATTACGAAGGCACGGCAGCTCGGAAAACTCATTCGGACCGTTCTGATAAGAACTTCGGAATTTGTTGATGAGATCCAGGCCGAGTCAATCAAGTTCATAGCCAGGAACACAGAAGTGTCTGGGTTTCTTATCAGGCAGGTAGTGCATGAAGACATTCGGTATTTTTGATACAAGATTAGAAAAGGCTAATTGTTATCCCAAGCCATGAAAGACAAGAGGAAAGACCGCGTTATGAAGATTTTGAAAAAGAACTCAAGCATCCCCTCCAACCGAACATGCTTTGGTTTTTCTCAGACGAGAAAAATTTCTGCCAGGAAAAGATGGTGAACACATAGAAGAACCGTTGGTTTGTTGTGTCTCCCAAAGATGTACCGAGAGAAAAACAAATATCCAGTTAATATCATGATGTTTGGACTGATCACTAGTAATGGCGACGTTATATCTCCATTCATCTTCCCACAGAAGCTCTGACAACTCAATTAACATATAATTCATAGCCAAATTGAATTTACCAGGAAGGAGATTATACTGGAAGAAATGTGTTTTTTTCATCATTAGGTTATATATATATATATATATATATATTATTGATTGATTTGTTTCTTTAACAACATATCCACTCCTAATGGGTCATTTAATACTGAAAAATTTAATTTTCTTGAGAGCTTTGATATAATAAATATGTTATTCTGCTTTCACAGTTGAATACAAGGTCGATGATACTCGCCTTCATTTCAAGTCTGATACGAAATGTTTCTTCAGCTACAAGATGTCTTTGGCACTATTCAGGCTGTAGTCAATTTTAACCAATTTTCTTGAACCATCAGAATCTTACACCCAAATCTTTATTTTTCGTCGTGCAACGCGGGTTAATTCGCTTTCCTGTCACCTTTCTGACAAGTTCAAACCTACTAAAATGCAGTTACATCTGCACTCTGCAGTTCACACCACTTTGATCAACTTAATTTTGTCTTCAGATGCTTTTTCTTTAAAGCTGGTTTCCTTATTGAAATTAAATTCTTCAGACTATATTCTTGTTGGATGCACTACCGATACGAAACTCGTAATCAGTCATCAGTTGTTTATTTTTCAATGTGCTTTTTCTTGTACTGATCAGTCTCCGTATAACCTCTTCTGATTCTTCTTCTTCAGTTTTCGAAGTCGACTATAGTTTGGTCAATTTAAAACACTTCCAATGCTTTGAGACTTAGAGAAGATTCCTGAAATCCCGTTTCTTGACATTCCAAGTTCCTTAGCGAATGTTCGCTGCTTCAAATTCTTGACCATCTTCATTATGCTCATACTGTTTTCTTTGAAAATTTTCGCCATGATTTCAAATAATGAAAAAATACAGGAATTCAATGTTATAATTAATGCTATAGGTTGAAAATGATCGGACCTGTTCCGAAAAAAAATACTTGCTTTTTAGTGATGGAACAGAAAATAAAAAAGGTCAGGAAGTCAAAGGTCAAATTTTGTACGGCTTTTTTGGGAGTCATCTCGCATTTTCTTTCCTCATTAAGAATCCTTGCTACAAATATGATAATTAGGTGTGAAAATGATTCTATTATGGCCAAAGTGTCATCTCTAAACAGCACAATGAAACATTCACTTATATATTATACTTATAATTATTATAATTATTATTATAATTATTATTCACTTATATATTATACTTATAATCATTAGAGATTTACAATAGTTTAAAAAAATTTCCGAAGACTTTTGCACGGTAATATTGAAAGAGAGAAACATTTTGTTGCAGAAACTTCTTGTCTTTTTACATCAGCATTTGTATACATTTATTTACATAATCTAAGATCTTGAAAACAAATGGACCAACTATTCTGATCTCTCTACAGTTAAGTTTCCAAATTAAATTTTCAGCAAGCAAAAACCTACCTACAAGATATATGTATCCTTTTTAGCGGGATCTTTGTTTTTTTTTTAAATGAAAAGAAAAAATGAAAGAAATCTCTGCATATTGATAAGATTTTAATTGTCTTTGTTAATGTTGTGGTAAGAGCCAGTCGGCTAGGTT